GGGAGACGGCCCTGGTGGCCCCGAGTGTGAATTCCCCGGGTCGCATCACACGCAGACACTCACTACTTGCCGTCCCGCGTCCACCCGGCCCTGGCGATGTACTCCACCCTGGGGAACAGCACGCTGAAGGGCTGCACCAGCTCCTTCTCCTGGCTGGAGACGATCTAGAGGGAAGACAGACGTGGGTCAGGCTCCGGCTGCCGTGGAGGCTGGATCCTGTCCGCCCCTCAGTACAAACGTTGGAGTCCTAACCTCCAGGACCTCGGCATGTGACCTTCTTTGGAAACAGGGTCACAGCAAATGGAATCAGATAAGCCGGGCTGCACTGGGCCAGAGGGCAGGCTCTATGGCGACGACAGGTGTCCTTACAAGAGGCGGACACGTGGACACGGACAGGCCCAGGGGGACTGTTTTGTGAAGAGACGCAGGGAGTAGGCGGCCGCCTACAAGCCGAGGCAAGGCCCCAGAAGCCACCCGCCAACTCCTCGACCTTGGACGTTTAGTCTCCAGGCAGATTTCTGTAGTCACCCCACGGGGCAGAGGGGCCAGCGAGCCCAATGCGGCACGCCAGCTGCCGCGAGACATCAAAGGCGCTGGCCTGCGCTGGCCCTGCGAGCCAGGTGGCTTTGGGCAAGCCCGGCCTCTGGATGTCCTGGCTTCCTCGCACCTGCCGGGGGCCGTCGGGAGAAAGGGAGGCCGGGCGTCTGGCTCTAACACTCGAGGAGGCCACTAGCGCAGGGCCGCCTCAGGACCCTGCGCGTCCTCGAGGGTGAACAGCCGCTTAAAACAGCCTGGCGGGGCTGTGGGGGCGTCACGCAGACCGCCAAGAAGGCCACTGAGGGCAGATGCCCCTAAAATTTGCCAGGATGTTCCAGTCACGTGTGTAGAAGGTTTGGTGAGGGCCTAATTGTGACAAAAATAACCCCCTCCCCCAATAATGAGACAGGCGCGCTTCATCTTACACGCCCGCCAGTCACACGAGACGTCGTTTTTGCAAAAGCAGGCGAGGGCCTCCCTGGCTCGTCCAGACTCTCCTATCCACCGATGTGGGGGGTTTCTCAGGGCGCCTGGTGTCCCCAGGGCCCACCACTCTTGTCCGTCCCAGCCTCTCTGGCCCGGGGCTCTGTCTCTGAGCAGTTCTCTGACGTGAGGCTGGGTAACTTCACAACGCCCCGGGTCTTGTGGAATTTGCAATTTCTCGAGAGGCCGCCCGGGGGTGGGGGGCAGGAACCTGACGGACAGGAGGGATGTGCAGGGCTGGTGGCGGGCGGCTGAGGGGCACGGTCACAGGGGCCATTCACTAGTGACCGCTTCACTTTGCGGTGATGACGCTTTTGCTGCTGGGGGCTGTGAGGCCCTGTGCGGTGTGAGACTCCCTGGGTGACGAGGTCCCCTTGACTCGCCGATGAGGGGACAGAAAGAAGGATCCGGAACACTGCCCACCCCACGACAGCTGATGGGTCTGGGGCATGGGAACAGGCTCACTGAGGTTGGGGTCCCACTGACTTCTCTGTTCTGGAAGCTCAGAGAGACGCAGGCAGGGCCCGCAGCGGGGTAGACGGAGGCAGCAGGGCTGGGCCGGCAGCCGGTGCCCAGGAGCACCTGCCGGGAGGGAGGAGGGTGGCCTGCTGGTCCCGTCCAACTGCCTCTCTGACTCCTCTCTGCTGTATCTGGAAGCTTCTGCAGGACACACCAGGCCCCCTTACCTTGCCCTGACTGTCGGTCTGGAACTCGGCCAGTTTCAGTGCGATCCTGGGATTCTTGCTGCCTGCAAAGACGGAAGTGAGCTGAGCGCGACAGGTGCTGGCCATGCGTGCCGAGAGCTGGCGTGCGGGTCTGGGGCTGTGGGTGACGTCTGCAGCGGGGAGGCACAGCGGTGGGGTGCAGGGCGGGGGAAGGCAGGCGTCCTAGGGTCTGTGTGCTGGCGCGTCACCCTCCCTGGTACAGGCTCCAAGCCCTCCAGGCGGGGATTTTCCGACCTTGGGCCTAGACCGAGATCCTGACAGTGATGTGTCCCCCGACTGCATCACGTACGGACACAGGTCAGACCCTGTGCTGGGAGTTAGGGCTGTGGGGGACGTGGTCAGCAAGAAGACACCATCCCTGCCTGCAGAGAACTTGAGAGACGGCTGCAAGGACGGGATGCGTCACGATGGTGTGCGTCCTGCGCAAAATGGGGGCTTGTGCCAGACGGCTGGGCCCGAGCCCTCGGGAGACAGGTGGCCACAGGCCAGCAGAGCTCCACGAGGCTTCTGAGAGGTGGCACCTCGATCAGCCTCCAGCAGAGGGTACGGGTCACAGCAGAGTGGGCAAACCTTATTTGTTCAGTTAGACCTAGGACAAATCTCAACTCTGATCCCCTGGGCAGGTGACATCCCTGAGCCTCAGTGTCCTCATCTGTGAAACGAAGGGGTAAGAGCGACGTAGCCCACAGGCGGTGGGGACTGGACGTGTCACACGGGAAGCTTCGTCTAGCACAGCACAGAGCAGACGTTCGCCAAACGTTGGCAGTAATGACTCTGTCGCGCCCTCCACGGGGGTTGCACACAGGAGGCCCGGCACAGCATCTGGCCCGAACGTGTGCTCTGCTTGGCTCAGGAGGTATTTTAAAATTATTCGGGAGACACTGATTTCTCGTGTGAGTCTGGCTCCTCTTCCAGAACTGGACACACTCGAGTCTGTGCTCTCCCAGGGAGAGGTGGGGCCCGCCCTGCCTGCTGCCCCCAAGGCACAGAGTGGCTTCCCCCCACCCGGATCTTTGGCTCCATTCTGCTCCTGCCCGGCTCCCCTGGCCACGTCACGCTGGGGCCTGGTTTTGCTCTGTGACAGAAACGCAGGTGTCACAGAGGGATGAGAAAGCAACTGAGGACGCCAGGACAGACGGGGAGGATGAGACGGTGAGTGGAAAGCTGAACACTGTGGTCCCGTCTGGCTGTACCAGGGGCTGGTAAACCACGGCCCGAGGGGCAAACCCAGCCTGCCTGCTGTTTCCACGAGGCTAAAAAGCCCTCTTACATTTTCAGGTCATTAAAAAGAAAATCAAAACAACAGCGACATTTTGTCTAATTTGAAAATTGTATGCAAGTTATGTGGCTTTTCGTTTGTTTGTTTTTTAAAGACAGAGTCTGCTTGTGTTCCAGGCTGGAGTGCCGTGGTGTCATTGTAGCTTACAGCAACCTCAGACTCCTGAGCTCAAGTGATCCTCCTGCCTCAGCCTCCCAAGTAGCTGGGACTACAGGCGGCGCCACCACGCCCAACTAATTTTTCCATTTTTTTTTTTTTTAACAGAGACGGGCTCTTGCTCTTGCTCAGGCTGGTCTCCAACTCCTGGCCTCAAGCAATCCGCCCGCCTCGGCCTCCCAGAGTGCTGGGATTACAGGCGTGAGCCACCGCGCCCAGCCAATTCAAGTCTGAAGTATTGCAACTCGAGCTTCAGTAACGTTCCACCGGCCACGCAGGACGGCTCTGTACTTGCTGCTTTTGTGCCACAGTAACAGAGTCCAGCAGTTGGAAGGGACTGTCTCGGCCCCAAAGCCTGAAATTTCTGCTGCCTAGCCCTTGGCAGAGATAGTTTGCTGATCTCTGAGCTACAGGAGGGTGGGGCCTAGGTAAGCCAGGAGCAGGAAACGTCCCCGAAAGGGGGGAAACCCCCTGCAGTCCCACAGGTGCCCAGCGCACCTCCCCAGCCACGACTCGGCGGCCTCAGGCCACTGGCCCAGCCCCGCTGCCCTGTCCCAAGCACTCACCTGTCCTGGGGTACCGGTAAGAGTCGGTCTTCCTTTCCTCCAGCGCAGGAGAGGGCACGTGGATGACCTCCACCTCGGACTCGTCCACCTCCTCGTACAGCATCCGCAGCGTCTTGACGCCCTCGGAACCTGGGCGGGGGTAGGGCGAGCTGCGGAGGCTGCCAGGAAGCAGCGACGCGTCCCTGGCCTCACCCGCTCCCTCCCGCAGCATGAGAGGGCACAGGAGGTGGCCACCTGGGGTGGAAGGGGCCGAACTGTGTCCTCCCTGCCCCCGTGCAACAGGGATGGCTACGGTCGCCAAAGCGCTCGCTGGGCTGGCATCGAAAGATCGTGGAGATGATTTTAAGGGAAAGCAGCAAAGAGCGGAGAAGTAGAGAAACTGCGATTCCAGTAAAAAAGGAAGCCAGCCTGCCCTCGTGGGAGCGTTTTTAATAGAAGGGAAAGGGACCTACCTTCCCAGGAGGCCGTGGGGCACCACCAGTACCCAGTGAAGCGGTCAAACTCTTCCTGAATGACAAAGGTGGCCACGCCCGCAGACTTGGGGTCGTCCAGGACGTTGGATAACCCTGGGGGTGGGGAGGGAGAGCAGCCTTCTAGCAACGGGGTACAGCTGGGGACGTCTTGGGCCACACACAGGAAAGCGAGGGACTCAGAGCCACCTGGTTCAAGGCAGGGCTTCCCAACTGCACGCCACAGATGTTGGGGCGGCCCCTTCTCTGGGCTGGGGCCATCCTGGGCGTTACAAGGTTCTGAGCAGTGTCCCTGGCCCCCCCACCTACTCCAGGCCAGGAGCAGCCTCCCACCAGTTCTGTCCACTTTCAAAATGTCTCTGGATGCTGTCACGAGCACAGGTTTAGGAAGAAAAGGGGAGCTGGGGCCATGGGACGGGGGAGATAGGGACCCACAATTTGACGCCATTGAGCAGAGAGCTCTGCGGACAGCCCAGGAAGGATGAGGTCACCTCTGGTGAGCAGGGGAGGGGAACCCAGGAGGCAGGTGGGATTCGGCTGGGGTCGGACAGGCAGAGTGGAGGTGGGGGGGGGGCAGAAGAGGTGGAAACGCGCGGCAATCCCCCAGCAGAGGGGCCAGACCCCCACACTGGGCTACTGCCTGTGGCGGGAACCATAGACCAGGCGGGGATTCGGCAGCGGAAGGTCTGCGTGGGAGGACGACCCGCGAGTGGGTTGGGGGCAGGGGTCTTTCTAGAAGCCAGACTGATGGCTCCGCCCAGCTCGGCCCTAAAGCCACAGCCAGGTGCAGGTCCCCAGGCGCCCTGGCCTCACCTTGGTGGCAGAAGGTGAGCCTCCGCTCCTCGCCCGTCTCGATGTTGGCCACCCACAGGTCGCTGCTGTTGATGAAGGAGAAGAAGGCAGGGTCCGCAGGGCAGATTTTGGGGTCCATCCGGGGCCCGGAGCACTGGGTCTTAATTTCCAGGGGCTTCATGGGGGACACCTGAGGACAGAGAGGCCCGACTCAGGGTGGGCAGGAGCCTACCGCCGCCCCCCAAGCGCAGCCGGGGCCGGGGCGCACCATGAAGCCGTTCTTGCCCCCGTCGCGGCAGTGGAAGAGGCTGTTGCTGGCCTGGAAGAGGAAGAGGCCGCTCTCGCTGTGGAAGTCGTAGGACGTGATGCCAAAGACGCCCAGGCGCTTCCGCTCCCGCAGCAGCTCCTCCTCCCTCGAGTAGACCCCGTGGTGGGGCGTGGCCTGGGGACACACAGGGGACAGGCAGCAGCGTCAGCAGCAGAAGCTGTGGGCTCTGGGGGTGACAGGATCCCCCACCCTCAGGGGCAGAGGTCCTCCAGCCGGGGTGCTCAGGGACAAGCCGACTTGGGGCCCAGACAGAGGGAAAGTTCCATGCTGGGCGCCGGCAGCCAGAGCCCTTGACCTTGCCCGAGAGCAGGGCCGTGCCAGGTGGCAGCGGATTGCAGGGCTCACTGGAAGCTTCCTCCCTGCTTGTGCCCCTTCCCCTTGGAACCCCCCCTGGAGGGGCAGCCCCCTGCCCCACACCCCTGGAGAGCCCTTCCCTGGCCCCAAACACCAATCCTACAGCCCCCCGACACTGTTCACAACCCCTTCCTGCCAAGACATTGGATCTAAACCCACCTGGCACCAAACATCTGTCCTTTCTGCAGAGGTGGGGTCCAAATTCAGGACCACGGGGACACCCACATGCCTGACCCCGGGGGCTCGGGTAGGTAAACTATCGCGCACACCACAGAGAAGAAACACGTTTTTTAAAAAGCAGAACTAGGCCGGGTGTGGTGGCTCATGCTTGTAATCCTAGCTCTCTGGGAGGCCGAGGCAGGTGGATCATTTAAGCTCAGGAGTTCGAGACCAGCCTGAGCAAGAGCGAGACCCCGTCTCTACTAAAAATAGAAAGAAATTGGCCCAACAAGTAAAATTAGAAAAAATTAGCCGGGCATGGTGGCGCATGCCTGTAGTCCCAGCTACCTGGAAGGCTGAGGCAGGAGGATCGCTTGAGCCCAGGAGTCTGAGGTTGCTGTGAGCTAGGCTGACGCCACGGCACTCTAGCCCAGGCAACAGAGTGAGACTCTGTCTCAAAAAAAAAAAAAAAAAAAGCAGAACCAAAAGCAAAATTACCCCTGTGCTCTGAGGAAAGCTACGTAAATATGAGTTCTTCGGCCTGGGGACTCGCAGGGACAGGCTGAAGTTACAAGCTACTGAACTAGCAACGGAGAAACTTGGAGACCACCATTCTCCCAGTCACCCTGGTATTGTTACGTTATTTCGACAATCTAAAAGAAAACCACACCAATGCATCCCACTTCTGACACCGCACAGTAAACCCCCCAACCCATGCAAAAGGCACTTTCCCTGGTCACCCACAAGCTCCGCTCCAGACGAGAGCCGATTCGGATGAGATCGTTAGCCCAGGCCCCGACGGCGCAGCTCACCTGGAAGTGATCCAGCATCTGCTTCCAGGACAGGAGCAGCAGAGCCTCTTTCCGGACCTTCTTGGGAATCTCAGAGTAGAGCAGGGAGTTCTCTCGGCTGCCGTAAGGCATTCCTGGAGGGAGGACGGTGGGAACCTGGAATGGGTGACCTTGCCCGGGAAGGGGCAAGGGTCTTGGCCACTCTCTCTGCTTCTAGGTCATTCTGCCAGGCTGCTGGCAGCACACCCCTCCCCGCAAAGCCACAGATCCCAAGTCTGAGTCTGTCGGCAATGGGGTCTCCCAGGTCTGAGATGTCGGGGCCAAATATCGTGGCCGTGATGACTAAGAAACAGCACAGGAGGGGATGAGAAAAGGGCGGTCAGCAACATCCAGCTCTCAGGAGGCTGGGCTCTGCTCGTGAAGTTACTTCTGCACCAAAGGTATTTGCACAGGTGGAGAATTAAATGAATCCAAGATGAGAGGAAGAGCAAAAGCCACAAACAGGAATTGGGAAACGTACCTAATCCAGTGTTTCTCAACGTCACTAGCAATGACGTTTGGGGGCTGGATCGATCCCTGGGGAGGGGCCGCCCTGGGCACTGCGGGTGCAGAACAGCGTCCCTGGCCCCCACCCACTCCACGCCAGGAGCAGCCCTCAGACATGACAACCACAGATGTCCCCAGACATGGCCCGGCGTCCCTTTGGGGGCAGGAATACCCCTGACTGAGCATCATTGACTTAATCTAATTTTCCCTATAAAATGACAGCACTGACAATAGCTGCCGACTGAGGATTTTGTATGGATTAAACGAGGAAAGAAAAGCAAAGCTCTCAACACAATGCGTGTGTCACTCAGAGCTACCAGCACATTTCGCCGGCGAGCTGCGGTTTTCCACGTGCTCGTGTCTCTGAAGTTGGGCTGCGTCTCGCTGTCGGAGGTGCTGCCGTGGTCGCTTTGTTTCCATCTCCCCTACTCTGGGATGCTGCGTGTTCTTAGCAGCAGGTAAAATAACGGTGTATCTCATAACTGGCTGCGTCTTAGCTCCAACAGATGATGGGACAACTGTCACTAGGGAAGGGAATGGCAGGAAGCAGAATGGCTATCTCCGGGAAGCCTCGGTTTCCCCTCTCATGTCACAAGGCTGGGGGACCAGCACAGGGCTCCTCCAATCCTGGAGCCCTCCAGCAGCACACAGGACGTTCTGCGATGGCAGAACGTGACGTGACGATGGCGAACCTGACGTGGCTGACCACGAGTCACAGAGAGCTTGGGGGCCCTGAGTTCCTCCCGCAGGGAGACTCCAGTTGGGACCAGCCCTCCCCGTGCTTGCTTGTTTTTCAGAGAGAACAGGAAGGCCACGAGCTCAGCACCTTCAGGGTTAGAGCCTAATGAATGATGTCTATGCCATTTATGTTTATTGTAATAGGTTGCTGTTATAGGCCCCCCATTCCCCCCACACCCCGTTTTCCTCCTATGTCCTGCTGGGAGAACCCGGAGTGCCCTGACCCTTCTGTGATCCAGCGAGCTGCAGGTTATTCCCAGCAGGCTTGAACCCAGACCAGGGTCTAGAACATTCCCAGGCACTGATAATGGTATCTAGGTTGTTGCCCAAAACCCTGAAAGAAACTGGCCCTGACCCTGACCTGAATTCCTTAAACCCTCCTATAAACTCCATACCCTGTCCCGTGGCTGGGGACACACCTAGGTAGGACGCCCTTTTCCACTTGCTGTCTGTCGTGAGGACACCCTGTGGCCCACTCTGATCCCTTGGTCTCATCACCCTGGCGTAGTTTAGTAACAGAAGAGTGTATTTAAAGAAAACTGTCAGACGATTAGGTTTCCTTTCAAAGTGGACGTAGGAGAGATGCGAAGTTAATTTATTAGTAGACACGTGTGGGCAGGGAAAACTGTGCGGGGGCTTGAGGGGTTGGCAAACGGCCTGAGTGCTGGAAATACAACTCGATCTCTAAGGACGCTTGAAACCACCGAGGTCTGAATCTCTCATTCCTAGCTGGGGGCAGACAGGACCTCACCCTTGCAGGCCGCCCAGAGGGGCCTCCCCTTCCCAGGGTCACGAGACAAGTATGGACGGGAATCATGCTGGGTGACTCCGTTTATATGAAATATCTAGAACAGGCAGATCCACAGAGACAAGAAGTGGATTTGTGGCTGCGAGGAGCTGGGGAAGGGGATGGGGAGTGACTGCTGATGGAGATGGTGTTTCTTTTTGGGGTGACGGAATGTTCTGGAACTAGACAACGGTTAGGGTTGCATAGCTCTGTGAATGTACTACTAAAACCACTCAGCTGCACGGTTTTAAAAGTATGAAATTGTGGAATGTGAATTATATATCAATGGGGGGGGGCGGGGTCTTGCAATACTACCCAGGCTGGTCCTGAACTCCTGGCCTCAAGCAGTCCTCCTCCTCAGCCTCCTGAGTAGCTGGGATTACAGGCATGAGCCACAGCGTGCCTGGCTCAATTAAAAAAAAAAAATGGCATCCTGGGGCAACAGGGAGGGTTGGGAGGGCGCAGGCAGCCACTTTTTATCAAGCAAGCTGTGCTCTGGGCAGCCCCTGTCCATGGGGACTCTCCGGGAGAGCCGGAGCCTTCCAAACAGGAAGTTAGGGGTGTGGCCTTGCCAAGGACACTGGAGCCACTTCCCCTCCCTGGCTGATTAATAAGTGATCACACCAAACGGCGGCCCCAGCCAACACATTCCTTGGACAGGCTGTTGTTGGCACCAGTGACAGTGACGACCGGCATTGGAGGCACAGGGTGGAGATGGCCAACGACAGCCTTGGATTCCTGCTGCCCTGTCCCTCCTCTGGCCCTCTCACCAGTTCTGCCACCCACACACACCCGCTGCCGACCTGCCAGCCACCCCACCCCCCGGTGGCCCCGGCCTGAGCAAACACGGCTCCCAGGCACCGTGGGCTGCGGCCCCGTGGCGGCCTGGCAGGGGCAGGGCTCTCTCCAGGGACGCATGAGGATGGGCACCCTCGCCTTCCCTTCTGAGGGAGTCAGAGCTACTGGGGACCCTGTGGCCGCCTCTGGCCACAGAAGTAGGGAGAAACCAACCCACATGGGCAGGAGAGCAAGTCGGGAGCGTTTCCTGATGCTGCAGTTTGAGTCCTGGAAGCTGAGCTGCCCCCAGCCCCTCTTGCTGGCAGCCGGAGCTGGCATGTGTCCTCCCTCCCGTCTGTGCACCCCGGTGATTGGCTCCACGTGCCCCAAACTGGCGAACCTGCCTGCCAAGGACACAGGGGTCCCTGGTGGGGCAGAGGGGCAGGTCACACGCTGGGCCTTGCCTGCAAGTCTGCTGGGTGCCAGCATTGGCCCGGGCACTGTGCTAGCGCCAAGACAGGTTATAAATACCCTGGGGCTACAGGGAGGCTGGCCCCAAGAACTCGGACGGGAAGTGAGGTCGGTGCTGCCCGGCTAGCATTACGTGACGAGGACTGGATCAGCTGAACATCGCCCCAAAAGGGAGGGCACGGCTTCTTGGGCTGCTGTGGGTGCACTCTGGGACCTCTGCCAGGTCCCCGCTCTGGGGCCTGGACAGGAGCACGGCCTTACGTGTTCAGACAGGACGGGGCGGCTGGGATTAAGTTAGGGATCTTGGGCTGGCAAGATTAGCCTGGTTACCCAGGTGGGCCCGACGTCATCACAGAGGGGAATTCAGATAGACAGCAGAGGAGGCAGCCGTGTGACTGCAATCCCAGGGATGAGGCCACAGGCCTAGGGATGCCAGTGGTCGCCAGAAGCCAGAAGAGGCAGGGGACAGCTCTCCTCTAGAGCCGCCAGGGGCAGTGCGGCCCCACCGTCACCTTGGTTTCAGCCCAGTGAAACTGATTTCTCCCTTCCGGCCTCCAGAACTGTGAGATAATACATTCCTGTTGTTTCAAGCCACCGAGCGGTGGTCACTTGTTACAGCAAAAGCCGAGGGAGACTCCGCCAAGCACGATGTCCACGGTGGCAACCCCGACACAAGCAGGTGGCCTAAGAATGCGTCGACACAAAGGGCTTGGGAGGCCACAGAACCGCAGGAAAGAGATAGGCGACAGCCTGCGACAGCTTGGGTCTGGGACAGCGTCGGTCCTCGCAGCGGAGCGCGCTCTCGGGTACACGGAACCCGAGGCGTTTCCGTCCCCATTTCCCCCAGAGCGGGCGCGCGTTTTTCTGCCAAGGGCCACACTGTAAATATTTTTGGCCTTTGGGCTGTATCATCCGCGTTGCCGCGACTCTGCTGCTGGAGCGCGAGAGCACGGACGACGCCAGGAATGAAGGGCCCAGGGAAGCTCGATTTCTGAAGGCAGCAGTCGCCGGCCAAGCCCTGTTCCGGACCGGCCCTCTTTCTAAACTCTGTGTTTGCCAAACCACCATCTGATTTCCACGCAAGCCTGTCCACGAAGGGGACGGCCATCTGGTGCTCATGGCAGTCCTTGTCATTAGCGTGTGGTCGGCCAGAGGCGGAGGCTGACACTCATTCATTCACTCGAATACTGACCGAGGGCCTGAGCACACAGGGCTGTCTCGGGGCTGAGGTCAGCCCCGTGAGTTGTGTGGACAGATCCTGCCCGGAGAATAACCTAGGGCCACCCTACCCCCAGGATGGCGCTTCTCATGCAGAGTTGATTCTGCCCCCCAGGGGGCACTTAGCAATATCTGGGGACATCTGTGACCGCCACGGCTGGGGCCCGGCTGCTCCCAGCATGGGGTGGGTGCAGGCAGGGACACTGCTCAGCACCCCACAGTGTGCAGGACGCCCCACCGCAGAGGATGCTGGGCCCCAGTGTCGAGCATGCTGAGGCAGAGAAACCCCGAGCCACGTGTCAAGCTGCTTTCAGAGGCACAAGCCTGGCTGGCTCCTACAAGGCCCTCTTCCTCTCACTCTGTGAAGCCCTTGGGTGCGGCAGGACGGCGTCCACTCACTCGCCAGGAATTTACTGTCTCGCCCCCGGAAAGCCCCATCTGGCTGCGAAGTACAGGATGCCTGATCTGGGCCCTGAGGGTTCTCGTGGCCCCGTGGGAACACAGTCCCGCATGAGCAGCTGCAGACGACATGGAAAGTGTGGCTCATAGGGCAAGCGCCCAGAGGAGGCGACTGTCCAGGGATCTGGGGCAGGAGAGTGAGCGTGTGCAGAGCCGCCCCTCTGCTGTCGGCCTGTGGGAGACGTGCACGAGCCACCCAGGAGGCCTTCCTTGAGCCTCGGGATCCTTCTTAACACACGGCTCCACAGCCAGGTCCTACTGGCAGTACTGTGGCTCCCACTGGAGATCTTTCTGCCCCATCCTGTGTGTCATGGGCCCCACCCGGCCCAGCCCGGGTGACTGGGAAGTGACTCAGGGGGTGGGCCTAGCAGACTGGTGTTGGAAACAATTTCCAGGCTCGGAGCCACCTGAATCAGCCTGAACCACGGCGCCCTGGCGGCACGAAGGAGCGGGCCTGCCCTCTGCCTGGCTCACCTGCACAGCCGGTCCCGGGGCCTTTCCCTACCCCCTTCGAGCTGCTGCGGGCCCTCCCTACAGTAGGTGGCACGGCCCCGTGGGATGGTGCGCCTGGGGCCAGGCCCGCCAACACACATCTTCCCACTCACGGGACCTGCTGCCCTCTGCAGAGCGGAGGACTTGGGAACAGCGGTCCCAGGAAGAGCCAGGCGGGGCTTACCTAGGTAGTAGAGGCGGTGCGAGTGGGGCCCCGACTCATCCGTCTTCTGCACGAACTGGAAGTCGTGGGGCGCCTTGTTGACGATGAGGCCTGAGTACTTGCGGCTGCCGTGGATGATGTTCCGCAGCCCCTCCCACGAGTGCTTCTGCACCTGGAAGCGGGACGCCTGCTCGTCCATGTCCACCGCGTCGCCCCGGTCGGCCACTGGGGCCCCGGTGGTGGCCGCCATCCTCTGGGCCCCCTCGGAATTCAGCGAGAAGCTGTGAGGAGGGCGGGGGGACCATGAGAAGAGAAGATCCTTTTCCCTACAAGCTGCCCCCCGCGCCCTGTCAGACACTCCCACCCCCCTTAATACTCTCCGAATTGTTCCGACGCTCTCCAGGCCACTGTCACCCCTCTGCTGAATGACTGACGCCATCTCCCACTTGGACTCCCCACCTCCACTGCAAGTGTGATCCTGGGACTGAAAACCCTCCCTGGTTTTCCACGGCCCTGGGATAAAAGCGTCCTCACCGTGACCTTCAAGGCTACGGCTGACCGCAGAGGCCCTGCACCCCAGCCCAACCAGCCTCCTCGCAGCTCTTCAAACAGGTCAGACTCCATCTTCCACCCCAGGGCCTTTGCATGCGCTATCTCTTCTGCCTGGAACACTGTTTTCCTTTCTTTGCTTGACTAACTTCTAATCAGATCTCAGCTTAAGTACCTGGCAGGTCCTCGGAAACCTGTGATCACCTGCGCAGACGCTGGTCTCCCTGTTTTTCACAAGCCACCTGGCCACCCTCCACCCTTGCAGCCTCCGTCACAGTGGTTATTTGTAAACCACCTGTTCCCTCATGTCTGTTCCGATCGTGGCGGTGTCTGAAGACCCTCCCGTGGGGCCCGGTACCCAGTGGGTGCTCCACGGAGAGCTGTGGGCTGTCTCTCACTGAGCCCCTGGGGGCCACGCTTGGCCACCAGCAAAGGCGTGAGTGTAAGGAATAAGAGGCTGACCTTGGTGGCTTGCTGTCCAGCAAGGGACACCTTGCGTCCCACTGGAAGTACCAGGGCAACAGTCACATATTACCCGGGAATGTTAGAAATCCAGGTGAGAGGGTGAATGTTTACACCATTCCCCCAAAACCATCCCACTTTCTCCTCCCACTTGGGACGCTCCACGCCGCACAGCAGCCACTGCAAGCAGCTGCCACTATGCAACATCCCCCCGCCCCCACCGCGACGCTTAGTGCACTTTGTGACTGGACGGGCCCGGCAAATATTTGTTTTAAGGAAATCTAAACATGGCTACGGTGACCCAGTTCCAGAAGTGCCAGAGTAGCCTAGGGGACGGAGCTGGTCGCTGCCCTCTGCAGGGACCGAGGGCCTGACGGCCTCGCCGGATGCTCCCAACCTGGGCCTCGGACGCCCGTTCTCTGGGACTCACTTAAAGGAAGTGGGAACTGAAGCTACTTCTCCACCCGAGGGCCGGGACAGCAGGGGCCGGCTTTTAGAAGACCTTGCCCCTTGCCAATGAGACCCCAGACAGCAACCACTGTGAGAGAAAGGACCCCGGCCCGCTTCGAGAGGGGAGGGGAGAAAGGGACATGACCAAGCACCTTTAAAAAAATCAGGCCCTGCAGCTGTCACGTCACTTGAGCTTGTGACAGCCCATTGTACAGATGGGGAAACTGAAGCTGGAGGGTACAGAGGGGCTCACTCCCAATCAGAGCCAAGTGAATGAGAACGAGGGGTTGGATGGGAGTGGCCTGGCTCCCAGCCTAGCTGGGCGGTGGTGCCAAGGGCTAAGCGATAGTAGCAGGCAAAGTCCTCTGTGACGCCCACATCCTATCGGAAGGCCCTGGAAGGAGAGCGGAGTAAGGGCCTTCCCAGCACAGGGACGTGCAGAGACCAGGGGGGCAGGAGCGCAGTTAGTTCAGCACTTCCGGAGACGGTTCTGAAGACCAGAGGCCACCAGTGCCCGTGGGCCCCTCGGGTCAAACAAGCCAAACCCAGAGAGAGGGGGTGGCTTGCTGTGGGTCCAGTGCAGAGCCCTGAGATTTCTCTCCAGGGTGGTGGGCAGCCCTGAGCGGTGTCAGGCAGGGGCCGGCGCCAGCGCCGGTTGAACCACCAAGAACCTGCACAGCCCAAGTGCTGCTGGCCACGAGTCCGGAAAAACCAAGCCAGGCAACTGCCCCGACCGGCACAAGCGACACCCCCAAACTGTGCCACCCCAACTCCAGCCCTGCCCGCAGAAGGAAAACAAAAAGTGACCTTCCGCACCCCCGAAGGGGACCCCGTAAGCTGAGCGCCTGGCGGGGGCACGTAGAGGACCACGTGGCTCATTTCCACCACGAAGAACAAAAACCACCTTGCCTCCGATCGCCACAGACGGCCCAGGAAGAAGAAGTGCGACCCAGGAGGTGGGAGATGAAATGAAGCATCGGGAGGAGCTTCCAGGAATCTTCGAGACGTGGCTGCAACCTTTAGCTCGAGCTTGCGGGCGGGCTGAGGCTCGGTGCTAGAGCCTGGCCCTCCGCCCCAACTCTGTCCGCAGAAGCAGAGTCTGGACTGCGCCGGGGCTGGGGACAGGAGCAGGTGAAGGGAGCCCAGCGTGGGCTGCCTTTTTCCATCCGGTGCCAAGTTTACACAGCTGGGAGATGAAAGCGGATTCCGGGCCACTTGACTCAGGCCCACCTACGCTTTCCTTCCACCAATCGGCAGGGCGCCCTGGCCACCCGGGACATCTCCGTCAAACAGCCCTGGGCCTCCTGGCACGGTCATTTGTCAAGGTTGAGTGGAAGAGCTGTGTGTGATCTCTGTCTCAGATGGTGCTTCGAGGGTGGGGACCAGCACCCGCCCTGGTGTCCGCCAGAGACCCAAGAGGCACAGTGATGGCAGATAGGACGGGGGTGCTGGGTAAAGGGATGTGGGCGCGTCATGAGGCTTGGGGGTCCTACCCATGCTCTGGAGGGGGAGATGCCCCAAAGTGGACTTCGGGCAGCTGGCTCAGGCCAGGCGAGTGTCCCTGCAAGTGGGGGCTGCCGGGGGAAACGGCATGCCACCCTCTGTCCCACGAGCGCCGCCCCAGCAGCACCTGGGCCTCCGGCTTTGACAACCACCTTTAACACAGAGTCGGCTCGCAGCCTGGGCCCAGCGGGGACCTCACGCGTGTGCAGATGAGAAAGGAGACCGATCGCCCCCTGTATCCGCCCGGAAGGCCCTTGCCTGCTGGATGCTGGGACTGCCCGTGTTTAGAACCTGCGCCTGGGGAAATCCCAGCACTCGACGTCGTCCTCGTCCCCCCAGACCCCGATCACTTGTGCTCCGTAAAAACAAGCAAGGCTGAGAGCATGAGAAACCCGACACGGGATGGGTTCACTCGGTCGAGGAATTCCGATGGTCTTTTCATCTCGTGCAAGGGCCTGGGATGTGGAATTTATCAACTGCCCCAGGCCAGGCGTGTATAATCATGTTTAATCCACACTGGAACCTTGGGAGGCGAGTTCTGGGATCTTCCTCGTTTTGGGGACCAAAAGTCAAGCTCAGAGAGGTCGACGGGCCTGCCCAACGTCGCCCAGCAAGGGAGGGGAGTAGAGCCCAAGTCTGTTGGACACCAAAACCCACACCCTATAGGCAGACCAGTGGTTCCCAACTGAGGGCGGGTCTGCCCCGAGTAGACACCTAGCGACGTCTGGGACATGTGTGGCTGTTATGACTTGGGGGGCGGCTTCTGGCATGGCGTGGGCGGAGACCAGGTACGCAGCACAGCACCTGCAGAGCCCAGGATGGCCGCGATGTCCCCAGGGCTGAGAAACCCTGCCCTGGCCGTGCTCCCCTCGTGCAAAATACCCAGAGGGCTGAGAAACACAGAAATGCGGGGAAGATGGAGAAAGTGCCTCGCTGACCTAACCCTGTTGACGATTCTGGAAACTACTCTCCGTTCCCACCAACCGGGGCTCCCGAGGCCTGCCTTACCTTCTCCAACTTCCGGTGTGCTCCTTGTCCAGGCGCAACTTCTTAACCTTCCGCATTAACCGCTCGGCCGGCCTCGGGAGGGTGGGCTGCCTGTGGGGGAAAGAGGGGAGAGACCACAGGGCTGCAACTCCCGGCAGGGGTGCCGTGAGCTCACGCCCCCTTCTCCCCCTCTCCATTTCCCCAGGCAGCCCCCTGAGCGCCCCAAAACCACGGGCATCCTGATGAGGCAGGTGCTCCAGGCCCTGCCCTGAACTGCACGAGGTGTGGGGCATTTGCTGGAAACCCGCACCTTACTCGCGGGGAGGTTGTCTCAAGGTAAGAAGTCCCTCAGTTTCAAATAACTCCAGGGATGCCACCCGAGGGGCACTTGCTGGAAACAGAATCATCCCAAATTCCTCACTGTGGCCGCTCCCTGGTGGCCTCATGGCCATCTCCCCTCGCCCTTGGCCGTGACCTCCAGCCAAAGCGGCCTCCTTACTCTCCCCTAAGTACACCGGCTCCTTCCTACCTCGCAGCTTTTGCACCAGCCAGTCCCTCTGCCTGGGACGCCCTTCCCCTTTTAGTATGACTTGTCCCTTATCCTTCTGGTCCCAGTGTCACCTCCTCAGAAGTCTTTCCTGAGCACCCAATCCAAAGTTACCCCCATCCCAACACCTAGACGAGAAAACCGGCCTGCTACCCTCCCCCCAGGAGAGTGCTTCTCAACTAGGGGCGATTCTGCCCCCCAAAGGACACTGGGCAATGTCTGGTGACATTTATGGTTGTCATAACGGGGGGTGCTCCCAGCACTTGATGGGTAGAGGCCAGGGACACTGCTCAGCACCCAGCAGTGCCCCAACGGAGAGTGACCCCACCTCAAATGCCAACAGTGCCAAGGTGCCAAGGCTGAGAACCCTGCATTCGTTATTTGTGGAAAAATTTGAGTTCGAGTCCTAGGCTCACTTCAGACGCCAGAACAAACTCCCGACAGGGCAGACGGACAGACCAGGTGACCCCCAGCTCCTGGGATTCCCCTTCTCTCTCCCTCCCCACTCAGGTGTGGATTTAAACAGGTGCAGCCTCCTAGGACCTCAGCAGGACAGGTGATCATGGGACACAGAATCCCCTAACCCAGCTAGGGATGGGCCCCCCTCCCCAGGGACATTTTTGGGACTCGGGAGGTGGGGAACGGTGGAGGCCAAGGATGCTGCTCGACACCCTACAATGCACAGGTCAGTCCTCCCACTACAAAGAATGATCCGTCCCCAAATACCAACAGTGCCCAGGCTGAGAAAGCCCGCTCCAGGGGAGTGGGCACCCCTCGCTGGAATGGGAGCCCCACAGGGCCAGGCCACATCTATCCTGTTCCCACTGTACCCCTGAGCCCAGGCTGTGCTTGGCACACAGGAAGCACGCAATAAACATTTCAGGTTGAATGAACAAGTCGTTGTCCCCTCCTGAATGCTGTCTCTGGTTAGAGGGACTTCTGGTTTGGTCAGTGCCCGGCCGCCTTCTCAGATGAGCCAAGATCTATGATGGGCAGTCGCCCAGGCGCTTAAAGCAAGAGAAAGCAGCAACTGGGCACAGGACATAACGAAAGAGGTGAAGTAAAAATGTCACCGCGAAGCAGCCCTGGCTTCACTCTCAGTTCAGCGGTACGACGTGTGGGCACTGGTGTCAGAGAGAGATGGGTTCAAATCCTGGCTCTGCCTGACCTGGGCTGTGTGACACTGCGGAAGCCACTTAATCTCTCTGTGCCTCAATTTCTCCAGCTACAAGTCGGAACTACAGTGTCTGTGCCTAGGGTTAAACAAGAATGCATGCGTGAAGTGCTTATAATGTGGTTCCTGACGGGGCACAGACGAAATGACAGCTAGTATTGTCAACTAGACAAGCGATTTAAAATCACACCAGGGGGAGAATGAAAGGAACTAAAGTCCCTTTCAGAGCCGGGATCCCCATCACGTGCTGACCGACACAGGCATTGTGTTACGTGTCCAGGGACACAGCTACACTTGCACCCAATCCAGCCGGAATCAGTGTGCTCCCCTTCCTCTCCCCGAAGCCTTCAGGAGGTTCTTACCAGGGGCAAGTGGAGGGGGGACAGGGATGGAAAGAAAACTGCACAGAAAGCTGCAGCCACTGCCCTGGGGCTGCGACAACTGTCCCCGAGGGCGATGAAAACCATTTCCTGCCTATCTCTATATTCGAGAGCAAGCAGGTAAATCCCACCGGCCCACATCCCAGCCTTCCTGGCTGCCAAACCCCAGCACAACTGACCTTCTAAAGGGTCCAGGGAGTCTCCATTCCAGCTGCAGGCATGGGACACAGACCTCGATAGAACAAACGTGTCGTTAACGTGGCGGGTTCAGGGAGAAACGGGCAAGCCTCCTTCACTCAGGAGCCGCGCACCCTGGGGCCTAGTTCTACCTGGCTAGGCTCTAGCTGTGCCCCACAGCTCTGCAGCGCCGTCTGCATGCCCTGGACAGAATCTGGGAGAGGAGCCATCCCACGGGGCCCCAGTTCCCCCAGGACCCAGGGGAGGACGACGGGGATTGGTGACTAGAGTCCACACCTCCTGGGCTTTAGTCCCAGCTCCTCGAAAGCAGGTTCGTTCTTGCCGCCGAGGCCAGTGACTTCCTCCCAGCCCTCGGGGGAAGCAGACGTGGGGGCAAAGGGGGAGACGGCGGCTTCCCGCGGCTCAGGGGAAGTGTCAGGGCTGGGCCGAACGCGTGCGGGAAGGAGGTGGGCGGCTGGACCGGCCCGGGAGGGAGGCGAGAGAAGGGGCCGAAGAGCGGGTCCAGGCGAGACGGGGCGGGGGCAGGTCCCAGGTCCAGGGAGGTGGCCTCTGCGCTCCCACAGGGGTCGCAGGGGGCAGGGAGCAGGGCGGGCCCTCTGGCGCCTGCACGGAGGGCAGAGGGAGTGCGGGGAGAGGGAGGCCCGGTGCGTGTCGGCGAGCGCGCTCCTGGGTGCGGCCGCCCCCGGAAGGGCAGCCAGCGGGTGGGGGGTCCGCACCGGGAAGGGCAGCGGCTGAGGCGGCGCGGCCCGCGGAGCGACTGCAGAAGCCGCGAAGGGGTGAAGGGGGCCCGGCGCGGAGGAAGCGAGGCGGCGGCGCCGGGGGTACCCAGGGACCGGCCAATGGCGCAGCCGGGGCGCGGGGAGGCCGGTCCGTGGCGGGCGCGGGGTCGCGGCCGAGGCGGGACGGGGCGCGCGGGCGCTGCTTACCGGGGCGCGGGGCGGCGGCCGCGCTGTGCAGGGCGTCCCGGGCCCGGCAGCGCCTCAGGCTCGCGGCTCCATGCCCGGGACTGCGGCCCCGGAAGTGGCGGGCGCGGGGGGAAGGCTGCGGCGGCGGACACTGGGGACCCGCCGGCTGAAGCCCCTTTGACCCGGAAGTTGAGCGGCCCAGGCGGCGGCCTGGGATTGGACAGCGCCAGGCTCGCACCAAGGGGCTCGCGGCGCTGGGGAGGGACTCCTGGCGCGGCCCTCGCGGCCAACGGGTGGAACGCTCCGTGGCGACGTGTTCCTGAGGCCTCTAGAGAAAGACACCCCCGCGTAACTTGGTATCACCCTGATGAACCAATGCCTCTCTTCTTAAGGTCGTCCAGCGAATCTTGTTCGCACCGCGGCGTTGGTGGTATAGTGGTTAGCATAGCTGCCTTCCAAGCAGTTGACCCGGGTTCGATTCCCGGCCAACGCAGCTGGTGAATAAGGGAGCGAATTTTTTTGCCTTTGCTAAAAACTGCCTAATAAACTCCTCGGACAAGAATCTCTGTTAGTTACTTTGAAGTCACTTTTAAAAGCCCATCAAAATTCCTAAAAGGCAGGAGGAGGAAGAAGAAGAAAAAAGAATCAGACCAAAATTGCTATTAAAATTAATTAGAAAATTCGTGAAATTCTATGATGGGAAAAAAAATAAAAGAAAGGCAGGTATGTTTCCGCCCGGGATCGAACCGGGGACCTTTCGCGTGTGAAGCGAACGTGATAACCGCTACACTACGGAAACCGATAAGGGACACAATTCTTTGAGATAGCAGACGTAGTTAACAGAAAGTAGATATGGTTTCTACACAGTAACAGTGAGAGTGTTACATTGTAGTTCTCGGTGGAAACATTGTTTCGCTGCGGTCAGTATTTCCGCTTTCGCAGAATACCCATCACTGCGTGATGCAGTGGAAGCTGCAAGAAGAAAGTATCGAAAAATAATCCTATGAACACCCTCCCCAACACACACACACACGATTTGCTTTACTATCAATCCACCTTCCAGTAAAACAATCCAAGACGAAAGTGGCCCAAAAACCCATCCTGAAGCCAAATCGACCTTTCATTGCTTTGTCTCATAGGTGGAATCTATACTTAAAATATCAGCTAAGTTTCTACAGGTAGTCACCCTTTTGCTTAGATCAACCCACTTTCTCAAAGAACTTTCTAAAAAAAAACAAAAAACAAAAAACAAAACCTGTGAGCGTGTGTGTGTGTGTGTGTGTGTATGTGTGTGTGTGTGTGTTTGCACACTAGGTGCAGGAAATTTGGAAGGAAACACAAAATTCAAAAACAAGTCTGATACAGGCCGGGCGCGGTGGCCCACGCCTGTAATCCTAGCTCTCTGGGAGGCCGAGGCGGGCGGATTGTTTGAGCTCAGGAGTTCGAAACCAGCCTGAGCAAGAGCGAGACCCC